AGTGTGATTTGCAGAGTAGATTATGTCCGCCTGACACATCACCATTTAAAAAGAGAAAAAGAGAAAAGGCCATGCTCTGACAGGTTTTGTGTAATTATTTTTGCGGAGCAGCAAAATCCAACTGAGCAGTAAGAATAAAGAAGGGGAGGGGCCTGAGGATGGCCAACCAATCCCAGCAGCAACTGAACACTGTCAATCATGGAAGTGACCACGCCTTAACAGCTCTCAGCTTTCTTGTGAAGGTTGTCTGTCTGTCTGTCCGTGTATGTAAATGTTTCAACATGTTGAAGAAAACTAAGGATACAAATACTGTACACACAGATAACATAATTCTAAACAAATCTGATATAACAGCTGTTAAGGCGTCTTTGTTGTTAAGTGATATTCATACATGAGGTACTGGGTTGTCCATGTGAGCCACTGCAATAAATACAAACATGAATCATAAAAAAATACAAATCAAATGTTTCTGTTCCCCAGAGAGGTAGTTTGTTATGGTTACATTTTGGACTCGCCTGTACACTGATACCAGAATATCAAAACTAGTCTACAAGAAAATATTTTAATCTTTTACATTTGCAAAGTAATACTCATAGATATATATATATAGCAAACCTTCCATATCATTAAATCTTAAGTGCCATGACTAAGTTATTTAATAGTAATATAATGAGGAAACGATAACCTTCTCACACAAACACACATTCCCATCAAGGCTGGGCCAATTATGCAACACCCAATTATAAATGAATATACTTGGTGTATAGGTAAATGCTATACATTGCCCTCACTTCATAAACACACGCTTCCAGACACACACACGCACTGCGCTCTCCTTTCCGAGCGACCGCAGTTTCCAGGTAGTTAAATTCAGCTTACATGATCATTAAATCGTTCCGACACCAAACTCACACCTACAGACAATCTTCATTAAACTATGATTAAATCTCATACGACAGAAAAGTTTTTCCTAATGACCCTGAGCCCTGACTGAGAAGATTCATATGAATCAGACGTGATAAAAAAAAAAAAAAAAAGTTTGGGGAGAAACCAAGAGAACGAGA